GAAGGAAGGTGGGACTGTAGGTGGGAAGAAGGGTATGGTAGGAAGTACCATTATGCTCTTTTCTGAATATATATGAAATACATGAAATTTTGTCACCTTATATAAATAATTTTTAAAAAGAACATTAAGAGAAACATGATCTCATTTAACACATAAAATAAGGCATCAGAAATCAATTAGACATTGCAAATTATCAGACGAAGAACTCTGTCAGACAGACTTAATACAGAGATGGAAGTAATTTTTTAATATCAAACAGAGATCCTTGATCTAGAAATTACAGTGAATTAAATTTAAAATGTGATACAAGTCATCAATAACTATTTTTTATAAAAGAAGAAATGATGAGCTTTAAGGCAGTATATTTGAAAATATACAGTTGGGGAGGATAAAAATAAGAGAAATTAATAAAGCTAAGGAGAACTTTGGGACATTAAAATATCAAATATCCAAGTTACTGGGGTTCAAAAAGCAATTGAGACTGCCAAAGAAATAGAAGGCATGTTAAAAGGCATGTTCTTTGTTCTTGCCTAACCTAGAGATACAACTCTACAGGTACAGGAAGTTCAGAGGTTATAGGACAGATTCTAATTCTACCCCAAGATATATATTATAATCAAGGTCTCCAAAATTAGAGAGCAAGTGAAAAAATAAAATATAACACATAAAGAAGGCATAACACAACCTAAAATATAATGTAACACATAAAGAAATTCACCTGGCTGCAGACTTCTTGACAGAAATCTCACAGTCTAGAAGGAAGGAGGAGGAGACTTTGGCATTCCTGAAGGAAAACAATCTTCCAATCAAGAATATTATATCCTGCAAAGCTATAATTCATATATAAAGCAGAGATAAAGACATCTCCAAATAAATGAAATTTGAGACAATTTATGACCATCAGGACTCTTTATTATAAGAAATGTTAATGGAAGTTCTTCAAACTGAAAGAGACTTTAATAAAGTAAAAACTTCCTAAAGTAGAAAACTCACTGGTAAGGGTAGCTATTCCAGGGGCCGGGGCCGTGGCTCACTTGGCTAATCCTCTGCCTGTGGTGCCGGCATCCCATATGGGCACCGGGTTCTAGTCCCGGTTGCTCCTCTTCCATTCCAGCTCTCTGCTGTGGCCCAGGAGGGCAGTGGAGGTTGGCCCAAGTGCTTGGGTGCCTGCACCCACGTGGGAGACCAGGAAAAGCACCTGGCTCCTGGCTTCGGATCAGCACAACGTGCTGGCCATAGCGGCCATTTCGGGAGTGAACCAACAGAAGGAAGACCTTTTTCTCTGTCTCTCTCACTGTCTAAATCTGGCTATCTAATTAAAAAAAAAAAAGAGTAGCTATTCCAGAAAAATTCAGAATGTTCTAATATTGTTAACATAGTGAAAACATTCATATGTTTAGCATGGAAATTAAAAAATAATTTAAAAAATAATAATTATATGCTGAGATAGAAAACATAGAAAGACATTATTAAATTTCTTGAAACAAATGGAAATATAAACACAACACACCAAAAGCTTGGGATGTAGCAAAAAATGAGGAACTTTATAGAAACCAAGGCATACATCAAAGAAGCAGAAAGATCTTGCATAAAAATCAGAAAATAAGAACAAATCAAACCCAAAATTAGCAGAAGGAAAGAAATAATAAAACTCCAGGAAAAAAATAAATGCAGATTTTTTAAACTATCCAAAAAATCAACAAAATCAAAATCTGATTATTTGTAATGATAAACAAAATTGACAAACACTTAGATAGTAAGCTCAAGTAAACAAAGTTTTAAAATAAAAGATAAAAAGTGTTGAAGATTTGGAGAAAAGAGAACTTTTGCACACTCTCGATGGAATAAATTAGCAGAGACATTGTAGCAAATACTACAGAGGAGCCTTACTAAACTAAAACAGAACAACCATATGATCCAGTAATCCCACTACTTGGTTTATAGCCAAAGGAAATGAAATGACCTTGCTGAGAGATATATGCATGCCCATGTTTACTGCATTAGTCACAATGGCCAAGAAAATGAAAAAACCTACTTCCAATAAAAAATAAATGAATACAGAAAATGTGGTATAAATACACAAAGGAATATTATTCAGTCATTAAAAATGAAATCTTGTCATCTGCAACAACATGGATGGAACTGGAGGGCATTACGTTAAATGAAACATGCCAAGTGCTGGACAAATATTGCATCATCTCATTCATATATGGACTCTAGAAAAGCTTATCTCATAAAAGTTGAAGGTATATTGGTAGTTACCAGAGGCTGAGGAGAGGAGAGGAGAGAGAGTTACCAGAGGCTGGGGAGTGCAGCGAAGAGGGTAAGCAGGGGGAAGTTTATTTAATACCTAGTAAGATATAGTTAGATAGGAGTAAGAAGTTCTGGTGTTCCATTGCACTTTAGGGGATGATACATAATGGTCATACACCATTTATTTCTCTTAAAAATGGAAAGAAAAGAATTTGAATGTTTCACCATAAAGAAATGATAAATGTTTGAGGACACAGATATGTTTACCTTGATTAGACATTACACAATGTACATCCGTATGCAAGCACTACATGGTGCCCCTATAAATATGTCTCAGTTAAAATTTTTTAAAAATTTTGGGCTGATGTTGTGGTATAATGTGTTAACTTGCTGCTTGTAATGCTGGCATTCCATATCAGAGTGCCGGATCAATTACTGGCTGTTCTGCTTCCAATCCAGCTGTTTGCTAATGTGCCTGGGAAGGCAGCAGAAGATGGCCCAAGTACTTGCCACCCATGTGGAATATTCAAATGGAATTCCTGTCTCCTGGCTTCAGCCTGGCTCAGCCATGGCTGTAGTGGTCATTTGGGGTGTAAACTAGCTGAAGGAAGAGCGCTTACTCTCTCTTTCTCCACCTCCCTCTCTCATCTTCTCCCTCTCACTCTCTCCCTATCACTCTACTTATTTTAAAAATTCATTTGATTAACCAAGTGAGGCATTCGGTTCCAGCTAAAAATCCCATGAGAGTATTTTAGGCATGGAAAGCCAAGAAACTCTGGCAACTAAGAAAAAAAAAAAAAAAAAAAAAAAAAAAAAAAAAAAAAAAAACCCCCTAAATGAAAGATTTCTGTGAGATTCCAGTGGAAAGAATGTGCCATCAAAGGAGGAGGTACCTTTCTCTGAAGGGAGGAGAGAACTTCCACTTTGACCATGACCTTGTCTAAATAAGGTCAGAGTTTGTGAACTTAAGAGGCTTCCATAGCCTTGACAGCTCATGACAAGAGCCTAGGGTGATTACTGACGCCACAAACAAGAGTGTCAATTGTTAAGTCAACAACAGGAGCCACTGTGCACTTACTCCCCATGTAGGATCTTTGTCCTTAATGTGTTGTGCTATGTGAATTAACGGTATAACTAGTACTCAAACAGTACTTTACACTTTGTGTTTCTATGTGGGTGCAAACTGTTGAAATCTTTACTTAGTATATACTAAATTGATCTTCTGTATATAAAGATAATTGAAAATGAATCTTGATGTGAGTGGGATGCAGGAGAGAGCAGGAGATGGGAGGGTTACGGATGGGAGAGAAGTTATGGGGGTGGGGGAGCCACTGTAATCCAAAAGCTGTACTTAGGAAATTTATATTTATTAAACAAAAGTTACAAAAATCATTTGATTTTAAATCTAAAAAGCTATATTATTGCAAAATGACAAAACAGTAAACAACACCTTGTCTAATTCTCTTGAACTTCGTAAATTTTGCTGTACTCTGCTCCAGGAGGTGCTATGCAGGGATCCCCAGAGTAGGGTTGGGAATGGGGAGGTAGTGTCATGCCCCAACATGAAGGACTGTGAGAAATCAGGGTCTTGGAGTGCTGGGCACAGAAGCAAAATAAATCTGTAAGAAACAGTAAGTTTATGGTTCCTTCCCCAAAAGCCAAGATATACCTGGAAGCAGAGCTATGGCAGCAAACCAAAGGAGGCAACACTGGATAGAAAAAAGCAGGAAGAACAAGTTCCCAGGATAGAAGGTCACAGAGCGTTCCAGAGGCAAAATGATTTTAGATTCAGATCCTCATCCCACTATCAGCTGGTTCTGTGCTTTTTGTCTCTGAGATGCAACTTCCTTTCTGGCAAAATGTGAATGATAAGCTTTCTGCCTCCCAGGAATGTTGTCATGATTAAATAAGACCATGTGCGGCCGGCGCCGCGGCTCACTAGGCTAATCCTCTGCCTTGCGGCACCAGCACACAGGGTTCTAGTCCCAGTCGGGGCGCCGGATTCTGTCCCAGTTGCCCCTCTTCCAGGCCAGCCCTCTGCTGTGGCCAGGGAGTGCAGTGGAGGATGGCCCAAGTGCTTGGGCCCCTTTCTCTCTCTGTCCCTCTCTCTCTCACTGTCCACTCTGCCTGTCAAAAAAAAACATGTGCCCCAAGTGTTTAGCAAACTTCTTGGTATAAGGTGCAGATGCCTGTAGTGTTAGTTGATGTAGAATAATGCCTAAATCCCATTACTCCAAGAAATGACTGATACAGAAAAAATACGATCTACATTCTCAGGGATCCCAAGGATGATTTTTTAAAAAAATATTTTTGAAAACTGAAACAAATTTATAGAACTGGAACTGGCCTTCAGAACTTTTTGGTCAAATTTCTTCATTTTATTATTGTTAATACTGGAGAAAGAAATGAAAATGCTATTGTGGTTTGGATCAACACTTGATTTTATTAAAGGGAGGCTATTCATCAATTTTATATAACTCAAGAAGGCAGTTAGGAAACTGTAGTTCATTGTGTGTATGTGCAAGTGCTTGTGTGTGTGTTACAAATAATAGAGGTCCCCTCAGGAGCTTCTTGCAGAAAATAGCTCTTAGCTTTCTGTGAACTTAACTGGCTTTTAGTACCCAAATTCACCCATTTATAAAGCAAACATATTTAAGGGTTCCCTGAAGATTCACCGAGTTCTGAATAAAACAGTTTCAGTGACCATGAGGGATACGCTTCTCCTAAGCCGCAGTCAGGCCACTCACCTGTCCAGGAGTAAGTTAGGAGCAAATAGAAGCTTCCCTGGGTGCTCCATGGACCGCCAGACAAGACCGATCATCAGGATCTCTAGCCAGGCACATTCCAGAAGGTGGACCTGATCATGAAGGGTCAAATCCACAAAGCCTGAAACAAGACAAGAGAAATTCTGCTCACTGAAAATGAAAACTATTTATTACCAGTCAAATTTATGCAACTAGGGATTTGAACTGGAAGAGTCTGCTATGAACTGAATGTAACCAAGTGTGATAGAAGCAGGTTTTATAGGGAAGTAACTATTTTTTAACCTATTAATAACAATGAATCTCAATGTGGCATTAAGTTTTCTAGTGCCTTAGTGTCATATCTACAGAAATATAGAACTTACGCAACCCACTCAAGTTTTCTATAATGTTCTGATCTAAAATAGAGTTAAAACCTCAATTTTCTTTTTAGTCATTTCTAATAGCCTTGAGTGACTGTTATTATTCATTTTGTTTAGTTGAAGACAGAAAGTATAAGAAATATAAATTGCTTACATAAAACCATACAGTCATGACCAAATTACTACGTCTCTATTTCTTTGCAAATCCACAACCTTTTATCTTAATGTGTAATGACAGATCAGTGATGCCAGTGTATGTAAATATATCACTTATAATGAATCAGATGAACAATGATAACATGATGATTTCTTCTGGTAAACCATTGAAGTGCTCTTTAAGTCCAAAGTTATTGCACCTCCCACTACTGCCTCACTGAGCCATGCCAACTCCAATGAGAGTGTAACCTTTATCAAAGCAGGCTTCTTTTCACTGGAACGAGAGGATTCCAGTTATATAGAGCAGGGTTCACATCCAGAAAAATGAGAAAGTGAATGGCTTTGTTCATAAGAAAATCTAAAAGATTAGAAAGCAATGATTGGGTATCAGAATACCTGGGGGTTAGGGGAAGGCAACAGGTGTTACAAAAATATACAGTTATTTACCTATTGAGCACACTTGGATCAAAACGGATGAAACTGGCTCTAGAGAAACATCACCTGATCCAACAACAAGCACTTTTCTTTCTCAGTATTGTCTAATGTTTATATTCACGAGTGAGATTCTTTCTCTGTTCTTATGATATTCACTGTTTTCTGTAGGAAAATATGTAATCATGTAGCCATTGAGTTCTCCAGTTTATCTATGAAGAAACCTACCAGAGATTATTCAATATGCTAAACAAACTTCAAAAATTACACAGGATGAAATCTGGAAGTGCCTCTTGAGTTTCCAGAACTTTAGTTAGCCAGGGAACCAATCAATTTTGGAAACCAAAGACCTGCTTTACAGTAGCAACTTTACATTTAAACACAATACTTCCTAATTCTCACTGTAAGATTTCAACGTTATTTAAATCTGCCAGTATAGTTGTCTTCCAGGAGCCAGAAAAGCTCCCTATAATCATTTGTAGCACTTAAGCAGGGTAATTATGAGATCTGCCTCAAGTATGTCTGACTCTTCTGTTGGAAGTCAACAGGATTGCTGGGCCCTTTTGTTGAAATGTTGTAGGCTGCTCAAAAGAAGTGTCCACTTAATTATGTTTTCTGCCTGTTCGTATTGCTGGCAGATAGGGGTTCTGATTTCTGTTGCCTGGTGTCCCCTGCAAGTTCCTGGGACAGAATTGAGGGGAAGGTACAGAAAAGACTGTCAATTAACTTTCTCAATAATACAAGGACTGTGAAAGAAAGTTGTAAAATGGAGTGTCTCCTTTTTTCTAATGTCCTAGTTTTGATATTATTTTTAACCATGTAGGAGCTAACTATCATTTTGTTGTGGAACAGATGTTCTCAATTCATAGCCAATAGGAAAATTAACATAAATCTGAAATAAAGTTAAATAAGGCCAATTATGTACAGATATTAATTTTCAGTCCCTTTTTAATGTTTGGCATCTACTAAGGGGGCTACAACATCCACTTATTTCTGAGGACTGATCTATCAAGGGCAAGAGGCTTCTCTTCTGAGGAGCTGTGTCAAGACTCCTTTCACATCATTGTTCTTCAGGCTGTGGATGAAGAGTACAGTATGGGGGTGACCACAGTGCACATCACTGAGGCAGTTGAGCTTAAGGAACAATGAGTAACAGCACAGCTGAGGTAGACCCCAAGGTAGACCCAGAACAAGGGGAAAACCCAGGGGTGAGAACCATAGGTGGAACATATTTTATACTTGCTTGCATTGGGGGTTAGCTCCATCCTTGAGGAGAAAACCCTGAGAGTAAGAAAAGAGAAGCCCAGTGGTTGAAACAAATCTGTCAATACAGTTGGCATCTACAAGATGTTACTGATAAGGGTATCTGATCTAGTCACCTTGAGAATTTCAGTGCCAAAAGAGAAGGCCAATCACATCATGAGGAAAATGTGGACCAGGCTAACCCAGTAGGTGGTGAACCAAGACATGTGGATCAGCAGGCCACAGAAGCAAGGGTTCATGATGACTGGGCAATGGTTGGCAGATGGCCTCACATTATTCAAGGGCCTGTGTGGTTAGATGTAAACTCTCTGTTCCAACAAAAATCTTATAAATATATACCCAAATGAGCCATCCTCTGCAGGACATGTTATTGTTATGTCTGGTTGTTCACCAGCATTTTGGAGACTGTCAGAGATGTGAAACAGATACCAGCAAAGGACAAGTTGTGGATTACATGAAGATTCCAAATGGATCTTTTATAATAACTTTGGCCATTCAAATTAACCAAGCCTCTTGTCCTTGATAGATCAGTCCTCAGAAATAAGTGGATGTTGTAGCCCCCTTAGTAGATGCCAAACATTAAAAAAGGACTGAAAATTAATATCTGTACATAATTGGCCTTATTTAATTTTATTTCAGATTTATGTTAATTTTCCTATTGGCTATGAATTGAGAACATCTGTTCCACAACAAAATGATAGTTAGCTCCTACATGGTTAATTTGGCCATTTCAATCTTTCTCGAATAATTGAAAGTGTCATAAATATGAAGATGGGATCAGTGCAGTGGCTTTGGGATTTTGAGATACACACTCTTAGAGGAGGCACAGTAAGCAGTGTCACATGTAGACCTTCATCTTAATGACAATGACCAGGGGGTGGTGGGCCTATGGATTCCACACCAGAGGGCCAGAATACCTAACTAAAAAATAGTTAGGATAGTTTCTTGAGGCAAGGTGAAATCAGATACTTAGAAATCTCATTTTTATAAAATTTAAAAAATTAGGAAAACAAGGATCTTTTCTCCCTAGTCTACATTCCCAGTCCTAATACTAGGGTATTCAGAGGTGAAATACACTACAAACAGAGAAAAATGCCTTAAATCCCACCCCCAGCTCTCTTATGGATAGTGATCTAGTTAACTAATGAAATTGGGGGAGGCCTCTTATATAGAGAAAGGCACCTCCCACCATCCACTCAACCGGCTCATTTTCAGCCTCATCACCAAGTGAAGACACGTCAGCCTGTGTCCTCCAATATACAGGAACCTTTTCCTCATATCCCCAAGATATTTTTACCTTAGTTTCAGCTTAGTTTTGATGGCATATCCACCCCCCTTCTCGCCTCTGCTCTACTAGGGATTGCTGCACATATTGCTTAATTTTCCTTGGCACACAAAGAGATCCTTAAGGGCCATCCTCCCTTACTGGGTGTGGCAATGCCCTTAGAAATGATGTTGAAAAGTATACAGAGATCCTTAGGCAAAATGACTCACATAATCTGAACGCTTGTAAAGTTCTACACTGCCTTAGAAAAAAACATAAATCAGAGTAACCCTTCAGTAGACACATGAGAAAAATTAAGTTCTATAATAATTATATTTCTTATTTCCACAGAATACAATCTTTAAAGACACAAAGCAAAATAGAAACCCTGTGAAAGATAAAGGCAGCATATTTTTTTCTGGGGAATGCTATCTATAAAACTAGAAGCCAGGTGGTTGGTTCCTTTCATAAATCCAGTGGAAAAAATATTGGTCCTTGACCTTCAAAAATTAATCATTTTCTCAGTCATAGGATGACCCCAATATTCTCCAAAATGTCAGTTTTGAAATTGCCTGTTTCATTTTTTTTTTCTGTATAGCCTTCTTCCTCAATGTAAGAAGAGTTGAATAATGTATCTCTTTTCATTTTGATACTAAAATTCAGTGCAAGAGAAGAGTAAACTGGGAAAAAGAAGAAATCACGGAAGGTGAGATTATAGAACAAGACAAATATAAACTGAATAAAACTCGAGATTCTGGGAGAGAATCTATGGCACAAATATTATCAGAAGAACCTAGAACTCTCTTCAAATGCCAAGCAGTTTTTCCTGTCCTAATTTTGTAATTTTTTCCAGAAAATAGTAATTTACTGCTATACCATGAGACATAGACCTAATGGTATAGTTGAAAATGACCTTTGTTTCCTCCAAAAATGTTTCTGGACTCTCTCTTATATGTGGTTCTGCCATAGAGATTCCTAATCTATAATAGGTGTTTCCAGCAGCAACAGAAACATTGAAAAATTATTTTTGTAAGAATAGGTTCAATTTCTTTACTCAATGTATGCTAAACTGATCTTCTGTATATAAAGAGAATCGAAAATGAATCTTGATGTGAATGGAAAGGGAGAGGGGGTGGGAAAGGGGAGGGTTGCGAGTGGGAGGGACGTTATTGGGGGGGAAGCCATTGTAATCCATAAGCTGTACTTTGGAAATTTATATTCATTAAATAAAAGTTAAAAAAAAAGAATAGGTTCAATTCATTTAAATCAATTATGCCATTCATAATTCTTATTGAATATTTATTTCTGTTAGAAAATTAAATAAATGCAGCACACATCACCAAAATAAACAGTAACAGGATCAACATTCACTTTTTTGGAAATCTTGTAAAACACAATGCAAGGGCATGTGTTTCCTCCCAAAACTGCCTTCCCTTGTCATCACTCTGTGTTCTGGTTTTCCCTTACTATAGTAATGGAAGTATTATGTAGGCTCCACCCTGACCTCATACCTCATCGTATCACCTTTCTAATGCTCTTACAGAGACACCATATTAATATTCACCTTACTAATTCCAGGCTGACTTTTTCTTGAAGCTACAACAGCCCTTATCCTCAGGCCTAACAACTGGCTACTTCCAAGTCATG